GGCTAAAGTGACCTCGCTCAGTTCAGTCTCGAAGGGGGGAGAGATGTGACGAAGTGGGACTGTTCTTAATGTTTCCTCTGAATACTGTAGGGGTGCCTCAGTTTCCCCTATGCAGTTCTTAAGTCTCTAGGTGGTGGGATAAAGGCCAGTGTGCATAATGGCTGACAATCTGTCTCCTGGCAACAAATGGCCGGGGCCCTTCCCTCTGCAAGGGAATAGTTAAAGGTGAACAAAGATCAGGTGACCTCCTGGCCGGGGAAAGAGACAAAGGCCAGAAAGGAGGGGCTGGAGAGTTTCAGTTTGGAACTGGCTGGGGAAATGAGTGCAGATGGGGTTGTCTGGCTCGCTGGGCCCCAGAATGGACCTGGCTGAGGGGTCCTGTTCTCTGTACCTACAAGCTCTGTTTTAGACCATGTTCCTGTCATCTAATAAACCTCTGTTTTACTGGCTGGCTGAGAGTCACGTCTGACTGCGAAGTGGGGGTGCAGGACCCTCTGGCTTCCCCAGGACCCCGCCTGGGCGGACTCGCTGTGGGAAGCGCACGGAGGGGCATATGCTGAATGCTACAAGGTCAGACCCAGGAAGGAGAAGCCGTGTGAGCTTCTTGCCCTGAAAACAGTCTACTCCAAGGAAAAGGAGGCTCCCCAAAGTACTGACTGGCTTTGTGGGGAGCAGTTCCAAAGCATCGCCCGGGGACTCCATGACACCATGGCAGGGGGGCGTGGCCTGGAGCGGCACCAGGGCTGTGGGGGCTGGGATAGGGGGGCGGGGCCGTGGCGGGAGCAGGAGCCACTGGGGGTGTCCGGGCGGCACGGGCTGCTCTCCCTTCTGCCCAGGCGGCGGCCCAGGGGCAGACTGCGGCCCCGTCCCGCGTGCCTGCTCCCCACGCCCTCGGCAGCACCCACCTCGTACGGCTCCGGCTGCATCTTCCGCAGCTTCTGGGTGTAGTCCGTGAGCAGCGCGACGATGGCGTCGAAGCTCTCCGAGCTGGCCAGCCACTTCCTCTTCATCAGCTTGGGGAAGTAGGGCTGAAAGGAGAGGCCAGCCTCAGCGCCAGGGCAGAGCCGGGCACCCCCAGGGCCTCTGCGACCTCGCCCCGCCTCCGGCTCAGACAGGCCTACCTGCCCCCCAGCTAGGCCAGGCTGGGTCAGACCAATGGCCCCGCTAGCCCAGTATCCTGTTGTGATGAAGTGGGACTGTTCTTGATGTTTCCTCTCAATACTGTTGGGGTGCCTCAGTTTCCCCTATGCATTTCTTAAGTCTCTAGGTGGTGGGATAAAGGCCAGTGTGCATAAATGGCCGACACTCTGTCTCCTGGCAACTAATGGCCGGGGCCCTTCCCCCCTGCAAGGGGATAGCTAAAGGTGTTAGAGAACAAAGAGATCAGGTGACCTCCTGGCCCAGGAAAGAGACAAAGGCCAGAGAGGAGGGGCTGGAGAGTTTCAGTTTGGAGCTGGCTGGAGATGGGAAGTGAGTGCAGACGGGGTTGTCTGGCTTGCTGCCTCCCCCCCTCCCCAAAATGGATCCGGCTGAGGGGTCCCGTTCTCTGTACCTACAAGCTCTGTTTTAGACCGTGTTCCTGTCATCTAATAAACCTCTGTTTTACTGGCTGGCTAAAAGCCACGTCTGACTGTGAAGTTGGGGTGCAGGACCCTCTGGCTTCCCCAGTACCCCACCTGGGCGGAACTCACTGTGGGAAGCGCACGGAGGGGCAGAGGATGCTGAATGCTCCAAGATCAGACCCAGAAAGGTGAAGCCGTGTAAGCTTCTTGCCCTGAAAACAGTCTGCTCCGAGAGAGGAGGCTCCCCAGAGTCCTGACTGGCTTTGTGGGGAGCAGTTCCAGGCATCGCCCGGGGACTCCATGACACCTGGCTCTGACAGTTGCTGGTGCCAGATGCTTCAGAGGGAACGAACAGAGCAGGATAATTATCGAGTGATCCATCCCGTCGTCCAGTTCCAGCTTCTGGCAGTCAGAGGCTAGGAACACCCACATCCAGAACATGGGGCTGGGTCCCTGCCCATCTTGGCTAATAACCACTGATGGACCGGTCCTCCGGGAGCTTTTTTAACCCAGTTATAGTTTTGGCGTTCACAACATCCCCTGGCAAGGAGTTCCACAGGTTCACTGCATTGTGCGAAGACTTACTTCCTTCTGTTTGTTGCTGCCTATTAATTTCCTGGTTCTTGTATGATGTGAATGGGTAAATAATACTTCCCTAGTCACTTTCTCCAGACCAGGCACGATTTTATAGACCTCTGTCATATCCCCCTTAGTCGTCTCTTTTCCAAGCTGAACAGTCCCCGTCTTTTAATCTCTGCTCCCGTCAAAGCTGTGCCACCCTCTTCTCTGCGCCTTTCCCAATTCTAACCTCTTGGGTTAGAGCTGGGGTGACCAGCCCCACACGCAGTCTGCCAGGTGTGGGTGTATACGGATTGATAGAGGGGCAGGATATTGACTCTCTCATTATCTATCTCAGTGGGTCTCAAACTTTTTTACTGGCGAGCCCTTTCACCCAGCAAGCCTCTGAGTGTGACCCCCCTAATAAATTAAACACACTTGTTTCTATATTTAACACCATTATAAATGCTGGAGGCAAGCGGGGTTTGGGGTGGAGGTTGACAGTTCGCGACCCCTCATGTAATAACCTCATGACCCCCCTGAGGGGTCCCGACCCCCAGTTTGAGAAACCCCTGATCTATCTGAACACTGGGTCCTCAAACAGACCAACCTTCCCCCCTCAGACAGACCCAGGCCGTGTCCCACGAGTGCCCTGGCCTGCCCCCACGTACCCGGAGCTCCTCGAAGAGCTGCTGGGCCAGGACATGGTTGCAGAGCCGGGTCACCTTGTCCAGGGCGGCGCTGGCCTGGCGCTGGGGGGCATCGCTCTCCGAGTGGCCAAACTGCGCCAGCTGCTCCACGTATTCCCTGGGGGAACGGCACCTGTCAGCAAGCCAGCCCACAATGCACTGCAGCAACGCCCCCTCCTGGCATGGGCCCCAGGCCCCCATCACCCTGGCAGGGGCCCAGATCTTGCCATGCTCTCCAGCCAGGGGGCCTTGGGTATGGCTGTGGGGCAGAGAGCCTAGCCCAGCAGGGGGACCTCAGGGGAGTCCAGCAGGGGTCCTTGGGGACATGACTAGGGAGGGAGCCCAGTGGGGAGCCGGGGGGGACGACGACACGGGGGTACCCAGCAGGAGGCGGGGGGGGGGGGAACTTGGCCACAAGGGACCCAATGCGGGGCTTAGGGGGAGGCACAGCCACACCAGGGGACGCAGGGTGCCTGCTACAGGCTCTGTAGGCCCCTGGACCCGGGCAGGGGGATGGGCTGGCTCACCCCAGCACCCAGGTCTGCCACCCCCCAGCCCTGGGCAGGCAAAAGGTATGGGGGCCCCGCACCTGAAGGGGGGGCAGCAGTTGACGAGCGCGATGGTCCTGCCCACATAGCTGTCGGTGGGGGGGCCGCTCTTGCCGGGCCCCTCGTGGAACTGCTCCACCTTGCTCTGAAAGCTGCAAAAGGGGAGAGAGGGCACGTGCTGAAGGGGTGTCCTGAGGCTCTGGGGGGATCCCCACCCCCCATACCAGGGAAAGTCCGGGGGGGGGATCCCCACCCCTCCCTGCCCAGGAAGGGCATCGTTGTACTGCCAGGCACATGTCCCACAGTGCTCTCTCTGATGGACCCCAGGGGAGGGACCCGCACCCCCCTCCTCCCCTCAGCTGTCACCTCCTAGGCCCCCTCCTCCCCCAGACCAAACCCCGCCCAGCATGGGGAGGGGAGAGAAACCTGAGCCAAGGGCTGTAGCCCACGGGGCTGGCTTGGCCTTCCTTGTCTTCAGCCCTAAGGCAGGAAATCTGCAGGCCTGGGAGATGCTAGCCTGGGCAGGGGGATGGACAGACAGCCTGGCGGCTCCCCCGAGGTTTGGGGGAACGCGGCGGACGAGCCTGCTCAATGGGAGACGCCACCGCAGGGACAGGGGAGTAACGACCATCCATCGGCCGAGCAGGGCGTGCCGGGGCGGAGCTAAACGGGCCTGGACACGGATGAATCTGTTACCCTGCAGGAGAAGGGCACCTCCCTCCTACGCTGGGGAAACGGCTGGATTTGAGCACTAGCCTATCGCTAACAGGAAACCACCATGCGGAGCGGGGTCTTCAGTCATCAGCTGGGCAGCCCCCATCAGACCCTGCAACCCGCTGGGCCCATCAGAGCCATTGGCACGCCAGGGACAGGGCCGGCTGCTGCCTGTCACCGCCAGGGCCCCCAGGAAGCGCTTCGGCCCAGGGCTAGTGCTGTGGGCTGGGCCGGGGGCTTTGACCGGGTCACGTGGCTTGAAGACCTCCTGGCTTGTTCGCCGAGTCCAGTGAAAGTCCCCCAGGCTTTGCTGTGTGCTCAGCGTGAGCGCCCTGGTCCCGCGCCCCGGGCTCTCGCCAAGAGACAGCTCCTGGGTTTGAGCCCTGCAGCGCCTGATGCTGGGGCCAGGACCTAGGGACCCTCTGACCGACTGGCAATTCACACAGTATTATTAACAGGGCCCATCGCTCCGCACAGCCCACGGGTCTCCCAGCCCGGGGGCAGGGGGGGTCTGGCTGCGCTGGGCGGGGGAGGGGGGGGTGGCTGGGAGCCAGGGTGGTGGTGGCGGCGGCTGGGAACCCACCCCGATTCCCCCCCACCGGGAAGCCCTTCCACCTGCTGTCCCCCCCCCCCCCGAGTCCCCCGTGACCCCCCCCAGAAGAGGGCCCTGGTGTAGCCTCCCCCCTCTCCCCTCCCGGCGTACCTCTGCAGGAACTCGGCCAGACCAGTCAGACAGCAGAGCACTATCTGCTCCCCGAACTCCGGCGTGATCCGGGGGGCTTTGTCCACATGGGCCTTCAGCACCTGCAGGGAGAGCAGCAGGTCGCTGAGCTGCTGGGGGAGCGGGGAGCCTCCTCCCCCCCTGCCGCCGGGCGCACAGACTGGGGGGCTTTCCCCTGCAGCCCCTAGAGCCCGGAGAGGGCAGGGAGAGACAGGCAGAGCCCGCCTGTGCCCTCTGCCAGTGGGAGCCGCAGCTGATCAGCATGGGCCCCTGATGGCATCCCCAAGGCCGGGCACCCACAGAGGGGCCAGCAAGCGAAGAGCCCTGGGGCAGCCAGTAGGGGGCAGGTGTCCCCCCCGGGGCAGCCGTGTCTTGGCAGGGGTTGGGATCCAGGATGGGCGAGCCCGGGGATAAGCCTATAGCCCTGCCCTGGCTCTAGGGGGATGGGCACATGGGCCCACGGGGAGCTGGGAGAGCCAGGCTGCGGCTTGGGGAATGGGGCGGGGGGGGGGGGGGGGGGGGGGGAAGGCTGGACCTGGCCGCCAGGGAAGGGGGGGAGGGGAGGAGCCTGGATCAGGCCCCAGGCCGGCTCAGAGGCTCCCATGGATCTCCCCCATCGGCTGGGCCAGGGGCTGCCCCTCTGCCCTGGCACCCCTGGGCCCAACGGGCGACTCCTGGCCCCGCTCAGCCAGCATGAGAGGCTGAGGCCACCAGCGCCTGGAGGGTGAACAGCTGACTGCATGGGGGGGGGGGGTTGTGTGTGGCAGGGAAGGCCAGGCACGGTGGGAGGGGGAGTGGGGAGCCCGGGGGCCAGGCATGGCAGGGAAGGGTCCCGGGGAGCCCGGGGGCCAAGCACGGCAGGAGGGGGAGTGGGGGGCCCAGTGCAGACGGGTAGCGGTGAGGGGCTTGGCCCTGGACGCACAGAGATCACCCGGCTGGACAGCTCCAGCTGGCTGTGGTCCCGTCCTGGCTCCTGTGCCCAGCGCTGCTCCTCCTCCCGCAGCTCCCGGCTCATGTCTGCCACGATCTTGGTCTAAGTGGAAACAGAGAAGATGTCACCGGTGGGGGGAGCTCTAAGGGGGGGGCGCATGGGCTGCCCTAGCACCTCTCACCCTATGGCCTGGTGTCCAGCTGGCCGGCTCCCAGCCAGGCCCTGCAGCTCGGCAGGACTGTAAACTCCTCCCCCCCCCCGACCAGCTCCCCCCACCTACTTATTAAAGGACTGACACCCGCAACCCCCTGGACTATTGGGGGGGAAAATCACCCACTCCCAGCGCAGAGGCACCAAGGGGAAGAGAAGGGGGTGGGGAGGTGCCATGGGGAGGGAGTGGGGCAGGAGCGGGGTGGCGCCGCAGGGGGGCAGGGGAGGAGCCTGAGGCTGCCATGGGGAGGCAGAGTGGAGGGAGGAGGCGCCAGGCCCCGCTGTTACCTTCACTGCCGCAACGCAGGCCTCCTCCAAGCGGCGCTGGGTCTCGGGGGGCAGCAGGGGCTCTAGCTCGTGGGCGCTGAGCAGTGGGGCGATGTCCAGCCGCCCCAGCACCTCCCTGGGGGCAGAGACAGCCATGAGAGCAGGGCCCCCCCCCCGCACCCTCCCTGCATGGCCCCCTTCCCAGTGCCAGCTCACAGGACCCCAGTGCCAGGTACCGGCCCTGCCCCTCACCCCCCCCCTCCACATACCAGCCCGTCCCTGCTCCCCGCCCCCCCGCTCCAGGAGCCAGCCCCGCCCCCTCACCTGGGGTAGGTGTTGCTGTGCCAGTCCAGGAGGAAGTAGAGCTCGGCGATGGACAGGCTCCTCTGGGCGATGCTGCCCAGCAGCTGGGCCAGCCCCTCATGGTAGCTGCGGGCGTAGATGTCCAGGGCCTGGTACTCGGGGGGATACGCCGGCAGTAGGTGGCTCCTGACGGCGCGGAGGTCCTCCACCAGGCAGCGGGTCAGGCGCTCCACGTGCCCCGCCAGGGGGCCGCCACTGTCCTCCGCGCACTGGCCCAGCCGCTCGCCCACCGCCCGCTTCACCGCCTCGGCCCACCTGCGGCGCATGGCCCGGGGCCGGGGCCCCGCACCGCCCCCCTGCGCCTCCAGCCACCGCCGGTCCGCGGCCTCCTCCTGCTCGATCACCCGCACCATCAGCTCCAGGGACGGGTAGGTGCCTTGGGCCGCCAGGGCCTCGGCCAGCATAGCCCACAGCTGCTGGAGCAGGGCCTCGTACAGCAGCGCCACGTCCTTGGCCTTACGGCTGCCGGCCCCGGGCTCGCCGCTCGGGGGGGCCCTCCCGCCCGCACTCCACCTCCAGCTCAATGATGTGCTTGTCCGCCGCCAGCAGGTCCCG